GCCGCCCGGCGGCGCTGCGAGGCCGGAACGCGCCGGGGCTCGGCGGCCTCCCGAGCTTCCGCAGCAGGCGGCGGAGAGCGCGGACAGGAGCTGCCGGCGGCCCGGCGTGCGCTTCGGCCGCTCGCCCGCGACCGAGCCGATGTCCATCCCCGAGTGGGTCACAGGCCCGGGCGCACACTCATGCCGCTCCCGCCCTCCCCGGCCAGGAGTCGGCGGCCGGAGCGAACGTGGGCGGCGGCGCAGGCCGGCCCTTTCCTGCTGGGCGCGCGGGCGGGAGGCCGCGCTGAGACCTCACGGAGACCACGCCCCCACCGAGTCCTCCCATAGGCGCGCCCCCCGCTCTGTCGCTTACAGCCACACCCACGCCTGGCGGGCCCTAGCCACGCCCACAGAGCAGACCCATAGCCACGCCCCTAGGTTGGGCCACCGCGTTCCCCCGTAGCCACAGCCCTCACCGCTTCTGGTATTGCCGGGCCCCCGCTTGGGAGCCTGCCGTGGCCACGCCCCTTCGCTGGCCACGCCCCCGGGTTGGGTCCCCCATTTGGTTATAGCTGTGGCACTCCGGAACGTTGAGCTCCTTTCCGCTGCCACGGTTTACAACAAATTCATTACATTGCTGTAAAACCATTAGTGACTCCGGCGTCCTCTGCCGTCCTATGAAATGTCCTTGACCGCTAGACTGCCCTAAATTTTACTAATTAACTACCCCAGTTCTAAGTCCTCTGAAGTGTGGCTCTGTTGCGTTTTAAAGAGCTATTCATAGAGCCTAGGGAACTGTGCTTGCATAGTTAATACACTTAACAGCTAAACTTTCAGAGATTTTGCTTTGGATTAGATTACCACAGGACTTGAGGAATTCCCAGGGCGTGGACCACGAATGTTAAATGAAACTGTTAATATAATAAAGAGATATTTGAAACAGGCAGTGTTTAGTGCAGAACTTTTGAATGACTATTGCACTTAACAGTTACTGGCCCTTTGTGTAAGTTTGGAAAAATTTGTTGAATGAATGAATAAAATGCCCAAGGCACTATGATAGGAGATAGAAAAAAGATGTTGTTTTTCAGGAATACTCAGGAGCATTTCTTTACTGAGTGCTGTCACATATACACCCACTGACGGACAATATGTTAGGAAGAGGAGAATGCATATGGATGAAAAAAATATGAAAATGGCTGTCAAAATGTGATTAAAAACAAACGCCAAGTCAGACACTTAAAAAGGTTAGAGTGCTGTCACATATACACCCACTGACGGACAATATGTTAGGAAGAGGAGAGTGCATATGGATGAAAAAAATATGAAAGTGGCTGTCAAAATGTGATTAAAAACAAAGGCCAAGTCAGACACTTAAAAAGGTTAGCCATAGGATAGATTTCTAGGACCAGCAGTATTCATTCATGGCCTTTTGATGACTTTTGCTCTGGACACTCACCTCTGAAAATTTAACCTAAGGAAATAATCCAAAATGTTAAAAACCTATTAGTTTAGACCATAAGAACTTTTATTTTTATAGGTCATAAATGTTGAGCATCAGTAATTTCATACAGATCAACTTAACACGGACAAGGAAAAAAATGGGGTGTGGTCATGCAGACCAATAATCCCAGCACTCTGGAGGTGGAGGCAGGAGAATCTGAGGTTCAGAGTCATCCTTGGCTACACAGCAAGTTCAAGGCCAGCCTGGGGTCCATGAAACAGGAAAAAAGAGTGCACAAATATATTGTGTCATAAATTGTGACTGAGATAGTGGACAGACTAATGCAGAATATTAGAGGCTTGGTTAAATAAC